ATGCAGAATTGCACACTGTGACCCTCAACCCCCCCCCCCCCCCCCCCTCACCTCATAGCAAACAACGAATTAATAAAATGGGAATAACCCTGAACAAAATAAGCAAAAAAGGAAATTAATTATCAAAAAATCATAAAATCATATCCCTTCGTTTCCCTTATTCTGCCTATGTCTGTCTGTCTGTCTGTCTGTCTGTCACTCTGCTGTGTATGTTGATGTGTGTGTACATTCCATCACTTGTGGTCAGTAGTAATTAATAAGAGGAGTTCGTCAGAACTTTCATCTTTGTTTTTAGAATGGGTTCTCCATAACCTTTTGTCATTTATCACTTCATAATAATCTCAAGACAAGAGCACAAACACAGATTCCAAGATCAAATATACAAAGCGTTAATGATTTCAAACACTGTATAGTAGTACCCTTCATCATGTCAGGGTCAATAGCTCTTTATTAGTCCTTCTAGATACATCCCAAGGCCGCCCCATCCTCTTCTATCTTCTTTTTTTTTTGTTATTTATAGTCGCCCTTCCACATATTTATCCTCTCTCCCTCTACCTCACCCCCTTCTAACTAGTCCCCACACTTTCTTGTCCCTTGTCCCCCCATCCCTTCTTGTCCCTTCTCTACAACCCCCTCCACTCCTTCTCTCCTCCTTTTCCCCCTCCCCTTATCTATTACCTCCTCCCCACCCTCCCATTCTTCCCTTCCGTCCTGGCCCTATCCCTTCTTCCCCTCTCCCTCTCTCTTTCCATGTCAGTTTTCTCTCATGTAAACTCTCATTTCACAGTTATTGAGTTTGCTTCTGTTATGCAATTTCTTTCCTACCTGCAGACTTATAACCCCCCCCCCCCCCTCCCTGAGTAACAAAATTATTTACAAAGTATTTATCTAACTGTCTGAAAAAGGTCAACTAATCAACATCAACTTTCTTCTTTAATAAAACATTTCCTGCAATGACACCTTTTCTGTATCTTTCAGCAAATTTCTAACTCTCTCACTCACTCACTCACTCTCTCTCTCTCTCTCTCTCTCTCTCTCTCTCGTTCTCTCTCTCCTACTATCTCACTCTCTCTCTCTTTACTCTCTCACTCACTCTCTCTCTCTCTCTTTCTCTCTCTCTCTCTCTCTCTCTCTCTCTCTCTCTCTCTCTCAGTCTCTCATCAATACATTACATGTATTCCAGATTAAGAATTTGTATTCAGTTCACTTCATTGGTTTGTCTTCCATTGGAGACCTGTTGGTGTGATAGCAATCAAAAACTGCAGTTCATTTAGCAAGAGGATAACTCTATTGCTCTCCAACATACCATTTCCATCGACAATAAAAGAAACTAAATTAATTACACCATATACCCAATAGGCACTTCTAAATCAAAAATTACAATTATACAGCCTCGATAGCTGCAATCACTAAAATAAACATGCAGGAATCGTTGCTAGCAGTCCATGGAGGGATAAATACAGCCTCAATGCTTCAAATCAAATTGCAAGATTTATGGATCTAATTAAGCCAAATATTTAATATGGTTTATTTCTAAGACACAATTTGTTGATGAACGACACTGGAATACACAATCACATGAAATACTCAAATGCAGATTCTTGATTGAGAAAATAACTAGTTAATTACATCAACAAGTATACCTTGATATTATTTTTCCATGGTAGTTCTCCACCCCTCCAAAGAAACAACTATCAGTGAAGGTTTTACACAGGGCATAGTTATAATAAAAAAAAATAATACATAACATTTATTAGGCGCTTAATACTGATGTTTCTAAGCGCACAGTGTTATGTATGCCATCGTTATTACAAGCCTTGTATTATACATGGCACATGTTACAATTTATGCCAAATAAATAAAGATAATTTTTTGTTCTTCACCTGAGGTAAAAATTATCAATTTCTTGCGACATTTCACATTAATTTGAGAAATTCCCCATCCTTTCCTGGTACAGCAACAGATAAATAATTATCAAATCTTTATCTTCCTCCACGATATATGCCTAGGGTTAGGTACTTTCAGGTCTTTCAGGTAGAAGATAATCTATTTAATATAAAAGGTTACCATCATACAGTAAAACCTTTTTATAAAGACCACTCAAGGAAGACAAGAAAAGTGGTCTTTATAGGCAGGTGGTATTAATCAATGTACAGGTTCTTATAGTTTATATTTGAGAAACTCTATTCAAGGAAAACAGAAAATGAGGTGGTCTTTCTATACAGATGGCCACTAAAGGCAGGTTTCACTGCCATATTTTTGTACTTGATCTTTTAGAGGTGTATGTATCATCTGTTTGGAAGCAGGAGGAAATTACATGTAACTCATATCATTTTATACAGAGCCCCTCTGTATAAACACCCCTCCTGCTCACAACAGTTTTCCCAGTTGAAACAGATTTCAGCAAAATTAATATTGCAACAAATGTTCAATAATTGCACATTTAACTGTACTGATTTAGTACTGGCCTACCTTTCATCATAAATTTCACATCAAATATTACAATTTATTCTTGAGAAATTATTTTTTGTTAAAGTAACAACAAATTATTTCTCAAGAATGGATTATCACACAATTAAAAATCAGATAAAACTTTTACTTCACATGCCTAAGTGGGTATAATATATTCTTTCTGACTATTACACAAGAGTATTACCATTTATCATATTACATAATCTAAAGGAATTTTTTAATCATAATAATAGCCCAAAGAATGAGGTAATTTATCAAACTCACATTCAAATTTGTATAAATATCGACGATATCATTTGTTGTAGAAAAGTCACAATAATTCAAGCAGATTTCCCTCCCTTTTCAAATTTTATTCTCAGAAGAAAGTCCTCATGATATACAAGCTCAACTGCTTTTAATCGACTATTACGAGTTAAAATGTCGGCAGAGACAGAAATCATAGAATAAGAGCTTTGATGCACAGGTGCATGTGGAGGCTTCGCAGTGCAACGAGGGCCCGTTATCTCGCACTCGAAACAACCAGCCCGCCGTATAAAAGTCATGTCGGGTCAACTATAGTCTGTGACAGCGGCTCGATTCAAAACAACCCGGGTATGATACCAATATTTACACGATCAACAATCACATTCACAAACACTTGTCATGGGCATGAACTTCAAAGATGAAACATGTATAACATGATTATATTAAAACTTACCTTAGATTTCGTCTCAATCAGGCGCTTAAACGCGTCATAAGACCAAGGGAGAAAAAGTAGAACTTGCAGATCGTGATAATTATCACAGGATCGCTTGGGGAAAGTAATTAGCAACACTTGGCACGACGTAAGGTTTCGTTCAAAGCAGCGCTCTAGCGGCCATGCCTGCCCGACCAGTCAAGCCGAGCGATTACCGCTGGAGTTCTTCAGGCTTGCTTTTCTTGGGTAGAGAAGATTGAATGAGTGAATGATGGTGATATAAATCACAGCAATATCATCATGAAACAGTCAGTTATGGGGCGATATTGGTAGCTTTGTGGCATCAGTTATTCAAGGCTTGAACAAATTCTTTCAGTGCGAGAGAACTGTCACATTTGACAAAACTGATAGCGTGAAACACCCGATCACATCTCGCGAAGAGAAAGAAAGATACGGGATCAGTCGGGAATCGAGTGAGGCAGAAAGTCGGCTTTACATGCATACCTACGGTGGGTTGTGAAAGCATTGTTTTGCTAATTATTTTTGTGTAAAATGGCAGGAGCGCAATCAATGAGCATGCGTAATAGGTGCAAGGTAATCCCAATCTTTGCTCCTGAATTCCCAGGTCCTTGCTAAGCTACGCTTATATATATTCATGACTTAAGAGAATTCAATTAACTTATCATTTGATGTTTAATTAATTTAGGTCACTTTTCCGTGTCCGATAGTTGGTTTTTGTGAATTGCCGAATAAATAATAAAAAACAACAACAATAGGTCATCAAATCTTGACTTTTCAAGGTCACGATCAGTCGAGGAGGGTGGACATTATGTGCTTAATTTAAACAAAGATGTGGTTTTAATATTGAATTTTTGCAAGAAAATAATATAACCCAACAATTATTCATGTTGTCATAGAAATTCGATGCACCTTCTCATGATTTGATGTAGGTAACTTCTGAAGTTATTTTTAAGTATATTTTCATGAATGTATTTTTTTAATCCTTCCTGATCCTTACTTTCTTTCTATTTATTAGGCTTTAACTCTCTGGTTTTCCTTCCTTTTGTTTTCATGCACGTTTTACGATTTGAGCCTATTCAATTTATAGGCCTTGTAATTATATTCATATTTACTTATTAGGCTTATATTATTTTGAAATATTTGCAATCCAACTGGACTAACAAAAACTCAGCACACAGAACTGCTAAGTATAATTTTTGATCTAGGGGATTGTAGGTAAAGTTAGCTTGTTGAGCTGAATTGGATGGATGTCGGTCACTTGATAAGCAGACTTGTTACTGTTCTTATGCAGCCGACAGTATTTTTGTTGAGTCTCGATGGATTCGGTTTAAAAACTGTCCTGTCATTTGTCATGTAGTCCTTTGAATTCAAGTAAGAGTGCATGGATCGTACACAAAGCTATATGATTGTGAGCTATGTTCGCTACAGGCCAGACACGTGTACCTTCACGACATACAGCACGAATAACGGTCTCGATGATTACGCAATCATTTACCGTAAGGTAGTCACGTGATCAGCGTGACCTGAAAATAGCGGTTTGTTTACTTTCTACATGTACCACTTACCCTGTTGCGCAAGCCATGCACCAGCTGTTTTTGGCCCCACACACTATACTTGCGGGTGGGGAGTTGCAGGATTCGTGCTTTAAAAGTTTAAGATAATATTCTTGTTGTTGTTTTAGTGCTTTTCCTCTTCTTACTGAATGTGCTTAATCATTAGTTATATTCAAATCAATATATTATTTATCAAACTGATGTGAGATCAAACTTAAATTCTTCAACAGAAAAGCTTACCCCACCCTTACCCTCAGAATATTTGGATTCGTCCGACCGACGGATTTCTCGGAAGTCGACCTGCGTCGCCGTCGGGGTCAAGAGGAAGTGACGTTATTTATTCCCACATCCTACATGTGGATGTGAGATGGCGTGTTTATATTGTTGAATTTGACCTGCCCTGAAAACGCGCATAGCTTGTGTGCTGTGTTGTATGAATGGAATGTAAACAGCAGCATTGTGCACGTGCACGTGCACGTGCATTGCAGCATATCCAGGGCAGCGAACAATAACAATTTGGCGATATTTTCGTGTGTTACGGCCACAGATAACCACGATTGTGGTAAGGAAATGTCTCGTGAGTCAAGTGAGAATCAAGCAGACACATTTAACATGTCTAATGCAGAAATAGGAGAAGAAAAGCAGCCCAAAATGATCGAGATCGAGAGAAAATTTCTTGTGACAGGAGATACGGGTAAGAAGATATTGAATGCCGGTGGAACGTACAGTGGTGTGGTAACTCTAACTGACAGTTATTTTGACAATGAAAATTACAGTTTAACCAAGGGAGACTTCTGGTTGCGACGTAGGAATGATCAGTGGGAACTGAAGATGCCTCCTAAAATTCGAGAAGAAAAATCTACATGCACACAGTACGAGGAAGTGACAAGCGAGCGAGACATTGTTTCTAAGGTGGCAGCCATTTTGTGCAACACTGCAAATCAAAACAATGATGACACTGTGAATGGAAACGATCAAATTTATGGGTTGAATGATGTTCAGACATTGGTTAAAAAGTTTGATCTCAAGCCCTTTGCAGAACTTGTTACGAATCGCAAGAACTATCGTATGAACAATGAGATTTCAGTCACTATCGATGAGACGGACTTTGGTTTTCGTGTTGGCGAGATAGAGATGATGGTTCAAAGTAGTGATGCTGACGTCATGAAGGATGCTGTAGCTAAAATTGATGGAGTGGCACAAAGTTTAGGTATGCTATGATGCGATTTCATGAATGAATTCATTATTAATGAGACACATAATACAAGATAGACTACATTGTATTTCAATATGGCATTATGGGATTCATTTTATACATGTTATTAGTTTTTCGATCATTTTGACTTCTGGGCCCCATTGCATAAAACTTACCGTTGATGGTAACTTGCCATCAATGGCAACTACCATGGTAACAGGGCTCAACAGCCAATCAAAATCAAGGTTTCCATGGTATTTACCATTGATGGTAAACTTACCATCAATGATAAGTTTTGTGCAATGGGGCCTGTCCGAGTGAAATGTGCGATGTTTAAAGTTCTAGGTCTATGCGATTATCACTCGACGGTATGTGGGACTTCATTTAGGCTTAAACCTTAAATAGCAACAATATAAAAAGGAACACTGATATCATCAAGTATACTGCATTAAACCCATCTGATTGGAGTTGTTTAAACATATTTGTCTTTTGACGCTCTTCGATTAAGCCAGACATAGGTCTAGTCTCAGGTGAACATATTCAGAACAAAATAGACTGATTTTTCAGTCTAGCTTAAAAATTTGATTTACTTCATATACTGGATGTTTGCAAAAATGTAAATTGAAGTGCTTGAAAGATTTAGGCCGTATGTTTCACTCATTGAAACTGTATGCCTGACAGCTGCAATACGACTAGGAAAAATGTGATTTGTTGTAGTAAACAATCTTTTCACTATATTGTAGTAAAATATTGGTTCCACATGCACTTGTATTTTCTAGTCATGACCAGCTGTGCAAGACCAAGGAAAGATAATTGGTGATAGTGATCTGTAAACCACTCTCTCGTTTTTTTTTGTTAGTAAAGTTATTCAAATGGTAAACTATATCCACCTCATTGCAAATTCATGCATCTTTCTTAATTCAGTGTCAGCAGAATTGTGATATTTATTACGTTATGAAATGAAGAAGAAAAACATCTACTGAGAGCTAGAAAGAGGTAAGCTGTGTCTTAAGGACATACCGGTAGGTGAATGCCCTCCTGGCTCTAATGTAGAGCTTCCCTGCACTCTCCAATAACATATTCCTAAGAACTATTAATATAGGCATTTATTTTGTATGGGTCCCCTCATTTGGATCAATATTAATACAGTGTATTTCTTTTCTCAAATTGGAGAATAGCCAACTGAAGTTATGGAAAGTAAGTGACATTAAAGATAAAGTTGAGTTCTGGTAATGCGATTGCATTGTGAAAGAAAAGGTGTGGAATGGATCAGAAAAAGTTGATCATGTAGCATGTAAGTATTGGTGTGTACTGCAAGGTTCTGGATTCATCAAAATCATAATAAATTTGGTCCAGTCTTGGTAAAGTAACAAGCATTGTACACAGAAAGATGTATATGGGACTACACAAATGGTGTCAGGGCTACTTACATGGATTTCCTTATCTTTATATGCTCATTACTCAGCCAGTATACATTAACTACCAAAATTGTTTGGCAAATGACATTTATTTGTGATCTTGAACATGCAGTGTAAGCTTTGTTTGATTCTGTGAGAATTTATTTTTCTTTGTTTACCAGAACTTAAGTTTATCTTTAATATGTAGTTTAGAATAAAGGAAATAGAATTTGTATACAGGTAGTTGTTATTTGAAATTTTCTTCTGCTTCACCTCCTGAGTCCTCATCCCTTTTCTTCCTAGCTTGGTTGAGTCATAAAGAACTTAACAAATGTTGGAGCTACAGTAGTATGTAATATAGTTTGTACTCCTCTTTTAAGTATGTTATAACTTTCACGTTTACACTTGCACACATACAAGCTCACATTAGGTGTACACACCCTTTAGTGTGAATACATCCAGATTTACCATTGTATACATAACATGTATGGCCTATTGCAGGAAACTGAAAATTGTGTGATCACATTCGAGTGACAATAAAAGTGATATCTTTTGTGCTGTGTTTTCAGTAATAAACAATGGTTGTTGTGTACAGTACAATAATCATTTGTTTGCAATCTTACTCAAATAGTTATACAAATCATGAAGTGAAGCCATACCTGACAATTATCAAACCATGTAATGGTGGTAGATATAAAGTTCTGACATGTTTGCATTAACAGGGTGGGTGTTCACAAACACACTCATATTTGCATACATTTATGAATCATTCCACCATATTCCCTTTACTAGTTTGGACATAGTCTAAATGTTTACCTCACAGAATTTGCTCTTTGTATAAAGCAGCCTTTCTGCTAATGCAAAGTTTAAGTCATTATCTTGGTTAAAGTAGCAAGATACACAACAATTAAACAAGTACATATATGGAGTATGATTATATCATTACTTTACTCTCCCAAATAGAGAAGGGAATCATAGCCCAGTAGTAGTTGCATTGAAGAAAAGAAAAAGTTATTACCCTGGAAGTCAGACTATTCGTCCAGCTCTGCTGATGTTAAAGGTAATGGCCCGAATTCACAAAGGAGGTTTGTCGACAAACCTCCTTTTGTTTCGCCAAACCTCCTTTTGTTCTTTACAAACCAGGTTTGTAAAAAATGCGTAAAAACGCGTCATATGACGTACGAAAACCAAGGTTTGACGACAAACCTCCTTTGGGAATTCGGGCCACTATGTCCCATTTGCAGGCCCAAAAAATGAAAAGGTTAAATTCCAACAGCATTTGAAAAATAATATTAATTTAGAACTTCCCTTTAAAAAAAACGCAGCTTGAAAATGTCTTTAAGTGAGAAAATAACGACTATCAGTTGTCGAACAGTTACAGAGCCAGTAAGTAATAGTCTGATTTTCAGTCCATTGTACCTAATGGTCGTATGTTTTATGCTGCGCAAAGATTCAATCAGTTTTATTTTGGCCATTAAAGAAGTGGGTTATTGATGTAGACAATTGCTCATGTACCCTTTACAGCTCATTTTATGTATGTTATTACCAAAGAAGAAAAAAGCCACTCAGTAGTGTCTGACAGTGAAGTCTAGCAAGTAAACAGGTCTCCTTGCATAATTTGAATATTAGGACACTGCCAACGTTTAAATTTCACAGATAGGACATACATGGACATATTCATAATTCCCGCAAAGTTCTACAGAATTTGATATTGGCTGCAAAAGGGACATACATGTAGTACCTTAAAAGAAAAAAACATCTTGGCAAACAGAATGCAGATTTATCTTTGTATTACTAACTCTCTGTATTTCTCTCCAATGAGCTGTGAAAATTTATCATTTGCTAAAAAACTACTAGGGAGTTATCAAAAGTCTAAATATAGCATATTTGATAATAATCAAGTTCCCACTACTATTTATTTTTGCCCTTCATCTTCTCCTGACTGTACAATTTCCTTTTTCTTTTTCTATCATATAAGATTCTTTAAGATAATACATTTTTCTAATAAAGATTCTATATTTTACAAATCATATCAGGATTTTTTTTCCTGTGTCTTGTTTTATGAGAAATTGAGATTCAAACCTTTATGATAATCTCATGTCTCTAAGCTGCCATTACTGGTAATGTTTAAAGACATCCCTTGCTAAACTCATTATCTTTACATCACGTCTACAGTGTGAGTCAATAAACATTAAACTTCTATCTAACCCCAACCCATCAAACGGCCAACTATTTGTGTGTTCATGATTTAGCTCTAGCTAATGTAGTTCTAATCAGGTTATCTTCGTGGATGAGAGTTGGATTATAATTGGGTTAAATGGTTTGCAGTTTGAGCTCCAGCTATAGCACCAATGTCCTTTGACAAGACAACGTTTGCCCCTCTTCACCCAGGTAAAGTAGGTGGTTACCTTACAGGAAAATATTCCTTTAATGTTTTTAGTGGCTTAGGGCAGCTGGGCTTAAGTAAGGGTAATGGGTGTACTTTAAAGGTGCCTAGATTATCCCTTAGACTGATGTATGTGTGTAGTGCTCTACATATTACTAATATCAGTATTATAATATTGGAAAAGAACAATGCTCCGTCATTAGCATTTAAATATTTTTAACTATCATACTATGGTAAAGGAAAGAATATCATAAACAGGTATATCATATTGATTTAAACTATTTTGTAAATGGTTGTTTTATTGACTCACCCTGTATAAAAGATGAAGAAATAGTGTGCTGTACACTCATCAACATTGGATTTAGAGAGAATATGATTATAATGTAAATTGCAGTTATGAAAGCAAATATTTTGAATAATCTTAATCCTTAATACCTAAATGCTGCAAAGGGATTTCCTCCTTGAATAATCAACACATTGTAGCTCAGATAATGTGACAAAGGGAAAATCCCTTCGAAATATCAAAACTGATTTCATTATATATATATATAGCTTGGTGTTGAATATAATGACTCCAATCCACCTACCAGTACCAACCAACATTGAAGAGAGGACCATAGTTAATGATCACCATTGTTTGCTAGCAAATATTAGCTTCCTGAATGGTTCATATTTTATGGATCCTATACATTGTGTGGCCCACGTGGTCGGGTCCGTTAAAGCACATGGCAATAAAGTATAATCCCTACCATAATAAATTGCTTAACAAATCATATATATCGTCACGAAGTGACAGTAGTGAAAAAAATTGCATTCACTTTGCGTTACGATTTTCCTCACTACCGTCACTTCGTGAAAACAAGGACGATATGTACATGAGAAAGAATCATTCTAAAATATTCTTCTAAAGACTTCATTATATAAATCTATAGATTCTTAACAATTTCAGAATTTATAATTTACTAGTGCCACCATGAACCTTATCCAGAGGATGTTAAACTAAAATTAATCATTGATCTGTTACTAACTCTCTTGACCACACAACAACAACCAATTGTGACTTCGGACTCCTTTCAGCAACTTAAAAACAGGACATCACTTTGTCAAGCTGCCAAGTTCAAACAACAACAACAACAACAGTGTATTTGATATCCAATGAAAAACTCATCTTTACCGGTGAATTTAGTTACAAATGTAGTCTATTCCCATATGGTCTACACCCATCCTGTCTACTATCCATCCACCTTGTCTAATATTCATTTCGTCTTCTTATCATTTGGTCTAATTACCATTTAGGCTAACAACTATTTGGTCTTATCTTCAATTGGTCTACTTCCCATTTGATCTATTGATAATTTACCATCTGGCATCTTTACCCTCATGGGAACTTTGGAAATGGCTTCCAAAATTATTCTCCATTTTATTGAAGCTCAGTAAATAATAATAATAATAATAATAATAATAATAATAATAATAATACTCAGTTTTTATATAGCGCAAATGACAATTAAGTCTCTAAGCGCTATGGAATTAGAAGAAAAACAAGACTTTGATAACATTATATACTGTTTTATATGACAATAAATATTATAGACAAGTCAACTGGACGTTTCACAACCATTCAGGTTTGCTTCATCAGGCTGATTAGTCTGATATATCTTGCAGTCTATCCATGTTTTTGTCTCCTCAGATGATATTCAACTATTGCATGATCTTTTATGACTTTTTTTAAATCTCCAGGCATGGAAGACTTTGGTTCGTTGTCTGTGGCTGATTATCTGGATGATGCTATTCTATCTCACATCTCAAACTGCATCTAACATTCTACTAAAATGCACATGTAAGTCCTATGTAATACAGATTGCTCTGATTAAAATAGGGGCTTATAACATATCTCTTTTTTAAAGCCAAAGGGTTTTAACTCATATAATTTTACATAGAGTTAATATCTTTCTGGCTATAAGTACCGGTAGACAATGTTAACAATACTTATAACAAAAGCTACAATAAAGGTCTCCGTACCATATGGAGGAAGACTTATGGATCCGAGGAAAATCGGTACTGAAAATTCATTGGCATACATGTAAATCAGTTGGCAACTCCACTATCCAATACCTTTTCCAAATTAATTTTAGTACACCCCTTTTAAATTATTGAAATTGTTACTGGTCTTTTGGGAGTGACCCCTTTGATAATCCGATGTACATGTTAAAGGTATTACAAAGTTTTGGGAAATGTTGAAAAATGGGTGGATAATGATTCTTAACAATTTTGATAAATTTGGATGCCCCTGTGGATGTATTAAAAACACCAGAAATTTTAGCCCCTTAAACAATTCTGCTTTCGAGAAAAATTAAATATAAAGATTTACCGGTGCTCCCGGTAAATTTTGATAAATTTCAAATAGCTCCTACGGCCGGTATAATGGTAGCTGCAACCATGAAAATCTCAGAGTATGTAGTTGTGGTACATTATTTCCGAACGAGAATAGCTAATCGGTCGATTTTAGTCAATAAACATTGTTTTATAGCTTGATTAATATCTTGACCTTGAGAGGGAGCTATTCAACATAAAATGTTTATTATTTACAATTTCATAGCTTTAGAGTCGATTTCGACCGCGACAACGATCACTGAATATTGTAGGATCGTATATGCTTCCAATATGTTCATTTGAACCAAATTCATGACCCCATAACAAAACTTTGTATTACCTTTAATACGGCTTGCAAATTTTGTTGATGTTCCAGCATCATCTGTTGAGAGCCAGAAAGGCACTGACCTGAATTAACAAAGGAGGTTTAAATCTTCATTTACATAACCCATGGTCTAAAATAAGCGCAAAATAAGAGTGACACAGCTAGAGGTCCAATATTAGACCTGTGCAAGGCAAGGTATGCTTAATCTGCGCTAATTTTAAAATTAGGTAAATGAAGATTTAAACCATGGGTAAAATTTAAACCTCCTTTGTGAATTCAGTCCACTATGTCTTTGTAAAAGAAGTAATGCCCTTCTGGCTCCAAACAGACAACGCAACATCTGAAGCTCTATCTTGCTCTCAGCTCCAGTTCATGAAGTGGGTATCCTTTACTCCCAGTACCGAGTCTGGAGGAGCTAGACTAATACCCTGTACCTCACTGTTCTCGTTTTGTGGGAGATTCATTGACACACCAGACTATAACTCAATTTCATGAATTATTTTCGCACCCTTTAGTTAAACGACAACAAAAACATACCCATAGTTCGGGGGTATGAGCTCTGATCCAAAGTTTGAAAATTGTGTCATAGATTCACTCTCACCCTAATCAACAGAAATCTGGGAAAATTCCCAATGTAATGCGTACTCTGTATGCCCGACCATTGACCCTTTTCTCACTTTTACATTGCGGATTAAAGAATTCCCAAATAGATCGCATATTAGTGTAGCCCCTCTTTGGTGCCACATAAGTAAAAAGGGATTAACCCCTTTAAAGTATGGCATTAATAGCTATACCTACAGTAGTGATCGATAGGAGAGATTTTGTTGTAACTTTGTGGCGAAAGCAAATTGTTTATATTAGCGAATAGTTCTTGTGAGTGAGTCTTGCCAGAGGTTCCACCTTTTAACCTATAGGGCCTATAGGGTGAAACTTCTCGGAACTTCTTGGACTGCTCCATATTAATTGCTATAGGGGTAGAAAGCTTTTAAGATAAAAGTATATTTCATATTTGTATGTTATCTGTTAATTCTAGTTGTTATCACTTTGCATTACTTTGCTTAGGATATATATTCAATGTCTTATATTGCTGTATAAATGACTCACGGATCAACAGCCACAACCAACTATTACTATTCAGACCCCTTTCCTATAATAATGGTATATTCGATATACCAACATCCAAGATTTTCTTGAGGCATCTTCCTTCTTTCACTATTACGAAGATGGAGAGGAAGCATCCTCGAAACATCAGTCTTCAATAACTTCTGTTTTTCCCTGCCCTTTCAGGTAAGATCTAAAAGTCATTTATTTATATTTGATTATTTCAATGTTCAATAGTTTGTTATACATTATATATATATATATATATATACCATTACTAGATAATAGATGTGACATATCTCTATAATCATGTGACACTGTGTGTCTCACCAACTTCTTAATTGGAACAGTATGACTAAGTTTACTTTTATACATCTGGAGATAGATTTAATATCATATACCATTATCTTTATATAAATCTCACTCAAGATAAGCAGTTATTTGAATGTTACTAACCATTTTCAATGATTGTTCATGGTCAAGCACTTGTTGCTTAGTATTGTCTAGCAGCGCGTGCACCGAGCGATTTGTATAATTATATCCTTTGGAAATCAGCGCCAAAGTTATAAGTAATGGGCTATTCCAAAACAAACAAACAGTATTACCCTGGTCAAGCAGATAGGTTGAGTTCTCTATCTTGCCGCAGTAATACTGTGCGAACTCTAATGTATGTGATTAAAGACTTTCCTGAACAATATTGTGCAAGACCACCTCTTGAATTGCATACATTGTTTATAAATATGATGTACTAACACAGTTATTATAAAATATCAATATGATAGTTATTAATTATTCTCTAAAGATATACCATGATTTATCATTAAGTATCTAAACTATATTTTATTGATTAAATGCTTCTTTCACTATTACGAAGATGGAGAGGAAGCATCCTCGAAACATCAGTCTTCAATAACTTCTGTTTTTCCCTGCCCTTTCAGATCAGGCTAAAGGTCGTCACCTCATGACACCCCTGTCAACCTGAGACCCTCTGTAATTTGTCAAACTTTAATAGTTTTGTTTTAAGCCATAGAGATAATATCTCAACTTATTGCCATGAAGTTAATGTAATGTAACCAGGAGTTACAGATTCTTGTAAATATATTGTAAATATGCTTTGTATTACTCAATAATAAAGGAACTTATACATTTCCTTTATATTGCCTAGTTCTCTAGTTTATTTCAAGATAGGCTAGATTCGTGTTGATTGAGAATGAATGAGTGTGTGTGCTGTAATTGTTTGATTTAAACTTGTTTCTGTGGAACCGACAGGTGGGGAACTTAACTAAATTCCGCTGCGCTAGATAAATTAATGATCCTCTCCCCACCCAAGAAAGTCCGGTGCTACAATTGGTAGCAGAGCGAGGTTTATTTTCTGTTAGTATTCATCACTGTAATGTCATATCAATTGTTAAGTAAATTGATCATGCCCAAAGCGGTGATACAATCCTTTTGAATATCTTCTTAATAGGCGGTGAGGTGAGAGTAGGTTTTTGAACTTATAGGTATTGTGTGGAAATACCTTAGGAACGATACATACCATATAGTTTGGGTTTGTTCTGTTTGTTTGTTGTTGGATTTAATCCTTTCTCTGCACCATCAGTTGTTGTTTAAATAAGAAGATACGAAGTAGGAGTGCATAGCAGGTCATAGAACACCTTCCTTGCAGTACGCTGTTTTGTTTTTGTTGTTGTTAGATCGCTCACTTTTGGTTCATTTCTGTTACTGATTAATATAGGGTATATAGACTATTCCAAATTGAATATTGGTCTATCAATCAATCATCTAATAGGTTTTGACGGAACTGTTTGATTTGGTTCCACTTCTCATTATTTACGACATTACTTTCTTGTTCCTGTCGTTAGTTTTACTTCTGTTGTTTTATTCCATCCTACTGATTACAATTTAGTAATACATTATTCTCGTGTAGATTTATGGTCCTTTTATTTCATCAATTTGACCATTTGACTTGATAGATAATTTGGGTAGATAATTGCCCACTGTACTCCCTCCTCTTTTCCTCATTATTTGCTTAATTTTATTTAATCATGTCTGTGGAAGATGTAGATTCCGCCGTTGCTCCTGCCTCTGAGGTTCAGGAAGATTCACCTGTCCCAACCTTAGACACATTAAGTACTTTCCTCAGTGAGGCTGGCATTAGTCGAACCCAGTTGAACAACTTAGTTAGGGGTAGTAGTGCACGACCCTCTCAAAATGTCCCCCATTCCGAGCCATCCCAGATTCGCTTGCCAAGGCTTGGGCTCTTTTCTGGAAAGGAGCCCATGAAGCAAGGGGAAGTGGACTGGGAGACGTTTCACGACGTTGCAAAAGAGATTGCTGCCATGACTGGCATCAATGAGCAGTCAAAGCGTCGTGAAATCGTCACCCGCCTGGTGATACCTGCTAAGGACTTTGCGAAACAAGTCACGGCGGACTCCACCGCTTTTGATCTATTGACTTTTCTGGACAGCATCTATGGTGCTGTTCAAAACAACAACCTGTTGCTTCAGGAATTCATGGGGATGGTTCAGGAGAAAAATGAGAAGCCATCTGACTTCCTGAAGAGGTTACAGCTAAAGGTCAGTAGATTAATTGAGGTTGGGGAGTTTACACCAGATGCGGGAACCCAAAAGCTACTAGATAAATTCAAGTTGGGATGCCACGACGAATACATCCTAACCATAACTAGTTTGCACAACCAGATAGTTGCACCCCCCTTCCAGAAATTAATTAGTGTAGTAAGAGAGGCTGAGGCAACGAGGGATGCCAAAATTGCCCAATACAAACCAAACCCCAACCCCAAGCAGCCGGCAAGGAGCTATAGCCAGCAGTTAGATACCCTAAGCTTATATGGGCAATCTAGCCCATTTCCCTCTCAAACAAAGAAGGGGAGTTATACAAGTAATAGTAATAATAAATCTAAGAAGTCCCATTCCCCTGATCCTAGCCGTCCCAAACCCACCACCAGATGCCCAGTTAGGGTACTGGTGTGCTACAAGTGTGGCGAGTTTGACCACTATGAGAAAGATTGCAAAAACGCACCA